CACACACACACACACACACACACACACACACACACACACACACACACACGATGCACATAAACTCATGGACTCTAACACATACATATAAAAATAATAAAACACAAATAATTGGGAGGTGAGGCAGGAGGACCACAAATTCAAAGTTGGCATAGTCAATAGGCAATGTCAATACATTGACATGACTCCAAGACAATGACTAAATCCCTCTTGCAGAACACTAACTAAAAATGAACCTTAGTTTAAAAACTAGAGGCTAGAGAAATGGCTCAAGAGTATTCGCTGCTCTTGCAAAAGACCAGGGTCAATTGGCAGCACCCTGATTCCTAGCACCCACATGGTAGTGGCTCATAACCATCCATAACTCCTCTTTCAGGGGATGTGATACCCTCTTCTGGCTTTCTATAAAGGGACATGGTACAAATATGGGAAGGTCAAACACTAATACACATAAAAATTAATTTATGTATGGTGTGTAAAGGTGCTTGTTACCAAGCCAGATGAAATTCAATCCCTGGCTGGAAACCATATGGTAGGAGAAAAGTGACTCCTCTAAGTTGTCCTCTGGCCTTCACACACACCATGGAAAGATATGCACCTGACCCCCACCCCAAATAAAATACATACAAAAATTGAATAAAAGTGTAATACTTAAATGTTTTCTAACTAAACTCATTCAAAAACTGCAAATATGAGATTACTGAATTGACTGAATCCACGAAAAACAATAGCCACTTAGAGGCTAGGATGTAGCAACGATGACAGAGTGCTTTCCCAGAATACTCAAAGCCCATCCTAGCACCAAACAAATGGTGGTACACCGCCAGCACTCAGGCAGTTTCTAGTGATCAGAAGAAGTTCGTGGTTAGTGAGGATGAGGCTATGCTGGGCTACACTAGACTCAAAGTAAATAAATGAAACAAGGAGAAAAGGAAAAATAGCAGTACAGGGTCAGATGAGTGTGATTCACAGCAGCACAGGCAGCCCATGAACACTTTAACTCCGGCTCCAGGGAACCTGATACAGCTTTCTGGCCTCTGTGGGCAGCCACAGACAACACACAATGAATCTCTGACAGACCATAACTTGCCCCAAGACAAAAATCCCTAAGCTTTGAGTTGCCCTGTCACTTTGTAGCTGACACATGGAGAAAACAGAAAATCTGGGAATCATAAAACTTAATTATTGGCTCTCTGCTATCATCTCACAAATCAAACACACTCCCCCCCTACACAAAACCTAAGAACTTCTGCTTTAGTTCTATGACAGAACCAGAGGGGGCAACATAAAAATTCCTGAGAAATAAAACAGCAATAGAGGCACACCACCTGGAGAAAACAAACCAGTCCTGTTTTTCAATAATTTTATTTTTTTCTAATTTTGTAATTTTAATTTCCCATAGCACCTTGGCAATGTTGAAAACAATACAAATACAAAGATGCTCATTTTAACAGTTTATGCATGAGTGTCACACCATTTTTTTTGGGGGGGGGAAGGGACAGTTTTGACAAAGGAACAAATCTAAGCTATGGACAAAACAGAAGCCAGATAAACTGGTTCGGACACGCCACTCCCAACATTTAAGATACGTCAGTCAATGGACACCTGAATCGGTTAGAAAAACAACAACAGAACATTGATGTGGGTATCTCTTTACATTTCTAATCAGTGTTCTGTGCTATAGAACTGAAAACAGAATACTTGGCCCACAGCTCAGACATCAGAGCCGCACCTTTAGGACTGTGTAATGTGCAGTAAGACACAACAAATTGTTAGTTTTAAAAATAAACATTGTTATTTAATAATCAGGTGACTTTTAAGAGAATTCAAAATGTCCTCATTCAGCTAATAAAAACTGAAATGTCCATGCATATTCTTGAAAGCCCAGACTAGCTACTTAGTATATGCCAAAGAGTCTAAAGTTAGAGCAATAGCCACCAAATTGTAAGGAAATATAAAAAATTAGAAAAAATCCATCATATATTATATTTATATATATTTACGTATTAAAAAAACCCTCAAAAGGAATATACTGTTTGATTTTTCTTTTCCATAAAAAGCCAGAATGATACTCTTAAAATATGGTTAATATATATTGCCAACACAAGCATCAGGAACTGAACCCCAGTGCTGTTCAACTGTGTCAAAGTAAAACCAGTGAACATTTAAGCCAAGAGACTGATTATTAAGGCCATACATAACTAAAAAAACTAGACAAAGTGCTCCTAACTCTTAAATAATATTTTCTTGCTCTCTTTTCCCTAAGTGAAAGATACTAACTTAATTCCGCCCCTAAGTCTTTGCAAAGCAAATCTGGTTATTTAGAAAGAAAAAGGAATGTGAAATAATATTGAAGCTACCTTAACTTTAGGAACTAAAAATAAATTAAAATTCTGCATATCATTTGATTATATGAAAGATATGCAGGTAAGACAACAAACCCCTATCACTGAAAGGTTTCATCTGCTTCCAAAATACAGGTGGGTAAGAATGTAGATAGAAATCTTTTAAACGCCACTGAGTATTTGGCAAAACTGAGACTATTCAGATTAAAGATTAGTTATCATCAAGACATAAGACGAGAAGGTTTGCCATGCCAGCCCCTCTAAGCATCTTCTCAGTCAAGTGCAATGTGATGAACTTGTGTGAATTCTGCTCTCTTCATGCAGTGGGAACTAGGATGTACTACTGTAGGATACATTCAGCATCATTTTATCTACTTTTGGCCTTCAATAATGCAAGCCATAAGGTGAAGAAGAAACTTTGACATTTAAATTCCCCCATCTACAGAACCAATAAATAGTTGAAGTACAATGAACACCTACCCAATTGACTTGAGTAATGATGATGGGGAAAAGCCAGTTTCACGTAACTCAGAGGCATCCTTTACACACGCTGCAATAAAATAACTGCCAAATACACACTGCAAATATACATTACACATTCACATTCACTACCCCTCCCAACATATACCCCCATCAAATGGGGGCTGTTTAAAAACACTTAGGAAAATTGAAATAAAAATCCTATGCTTTAAAAAATTTCTACACTCAGTATTTGGAGAAAAAAAAAAAAGAATATACGTGCTTTCTTTAAGAGGAAATTTTTCTTGGACTTCAATCAGACCTTTAGAAGTTGGAGGTATAGCTCAATGCTGTAACGCTCATGGGGTCTGTGTAAGGCCCCGGGTTCAAGGGAAGCACTGTTTTAAAAAACCAACCTGTAGTAATGGATCATCAGTAAGTCACACAAACTAGCAAGAAATTGGAAACTACATCTGTGACACATTTAGAGAAAACAAAAAAGTATTTTTAAGTGCAAAAATAAAGTTTATAATCCTTATCAAGCGATTTTTTGCAAAATGTTTATTCTATTGATTCACCGCATTCATAAGATGTTAACACTTTAAATGTTTATCATTTCTAAGTAAACCAGAATAAACACTGTTTTATCATAGATGTAGCTAATGATTAGTAATACTTTTAAAGGACCTAAAGCTCTCCCAAATTTTAGTACAGGTAGTTTTATTGTATTTTTCATCTAGCAGATTAAAAAAAAAAGTATGTAGAAATAATTGTTTCCAACTAAGTAAATATATTATACCATGTTATCAATCCGCCAAATCAAAAGCACTCACCAAGCTGAATAATAAGTTACAATGAAATGATAATTCTGGGCTACATGGATTGCGCAGTGTTTTCAGAGCTCTTAAGAATTACCCACTAACACAAATCTCTGACATTTAAGAGTTGGAAGGCAAGCTTCACAGTAATGTAATTTTAACTTCCATTTACATTCATTTTAAATATATTACTACGATGTTTATGTCACAATGGTGCTTTCCAGTGTTCACAATTTACAGTTTCAATTTGTACATACGTAACTCACTAATATAAGGGACAGTTCTTAGTATTGTAAACTATCCCTAAGAAAAATAAACCACCACCCTACATAAAACTATAAAAATGTTCTGACTTAAAACAGATTAATGCAACATGGTTTTTCATATTTGAGCTGTTTTCTAAATGCCAGCATGTAACTTTGCCTATGTAATGTATGACAGCTACAACTTTATTCACTGAGAAATTATGCATTTATTTTCTTCAACCATTTTTTCACTTTATCTCAAAAACATCCTTGACTTGCTATTTTTTAATCTGCAAATGCTAAACTGTACTTTTGGGGGGAAGCAAAAGAAAGATGATAAACATTTTAAACAAACAATGAAATTCCCCAAATTAATGTTTGACTTTTTCTTTTAGACCATTTAGAAAGTCAGTTACACGGCTTATCTTTCTTTTCTTTTTCTAGACAGAGACTAGTGAGAGGTAGAGTCCTGGATAGACTGGAACTGAGACCCACCTGCCACACCTCTGGAGGCCAGGGTTAAAGATTTATGCCCCCACACCCAGAAGCACTATTTCATTTTATAACACCAGTACAAATTACTGGCAGGTCAGTACCATCCTGGGACCTAAAATTCTAACTGAATAAAATCTTTCAATATTCCATTATGCAGCTTAGAATAGTTATATAATTTGATTAAACTGGTCAAAGTAGTAAGAAACGTACAGTTCAGTAAATGGTTAAGTCATTTTGCTTCTGGGGGCAGACAGTCAAAGAACAGAGACTAACAAACAAGAAAAAATTTTAAAAAGGAAAAAAAAAGTCTCAGGGCAGTTTGAACTTCTGAAATCAATTTGACCTATCCAGTATTCAGGTCTAAAACAGAATTTTCAATTTTTTTTCTTGAATAATCTCCGTTCTTTCCTTGAATATCAAACTGATTGGTAGTCACAGCTTCACACACAATCAGAGCTTTATAGCTTGCTCATACAATACAGTATTAGTAAGGTCAAAAAAAAAAAAAAAAAAAAAAAACTCAAGGGGAAAAAAAAACCTAAATTCCAAACTACAAAGAGTATCTACTCAAGTATTACATTCAGCTTTGAAATCATTCGCTAACATGACAACAGATTTGGCTTAGATCACTTCTGCACACACTCAGACCCAGAACAGACTCCCCAGCCACTCATCTACTTTGCAACACAAGGCCATTTAGTCAGAGATAGCATTCTTCAAGCCAAACTTTAAATAGATTAAAAAAAGTAATTTCTAATTTTTACAGAAATGTTTCTTCAAAAAATATTTTCTCTCACTCCCTCATCTCCTATACTGAAGGATGTATAATGTTTTTTTGTTTTTTTCTCCCAAGCTAAATCTGAACCCTCAAAATTGATTCCAGGCAGAAAAACCCTGCAAATTAAAATCAAAAACAAAAATAGAAAAATTATACTTATATATATATATATATGTGTGTGTGTGTATATTTATATATATATATATTTATACTGATTGGAATCCTCCAGCATTTGAAAATCATTTAGAGATGAATTTTGGGCTCTTCCTACTCACAATTCCAAAATCCGTCATATTTAGGGACATACTTCCCATTCTTTCCTGGCTACTTCCTCCCTCCAAAACAGTTCAACAGAGGCTCAAGTTTCGTGGGAAGGGAAGTTTCTGAGTAGTTCTGTACAGTTTGGTTTACTTTGGTGATCTGGGTGGCACGTACTGCTCTTTCCCATTACGTCGAGTCACTCCCTGAGGTGTAGCCCTATGGCTGAACTGGCGTCTCTGTTCCCTGATTTTTCCAGCTGCTCCCCTGGGAATGGTGTTGCCTCGGAAGCCAGAATGATCCTTACTAGCCCTTGTTTCTGGTTTCTCATGTGGCTTCTCAACAGGCTTCTCAGGAGCTCCGTTCTCTTCATTTCTGGTGGGGGATACTACATTGGACCGAAGTTCCCGCAGTGGCTGTACAAGAACTGGAGACGGCTCTTTAGGAGGCTTCTGGCACACTTCAGCATAGCTTAACTTTCGAGGTTCCTTTGAAAAGAAATAAAATTATGGTATATAATTCTCTGAAAGATAAGAATTAGCTTTAACCAGAAGGACAGTGTAAGTTATTGTCTGGGAGAGGGAAATATGTATTCTCATGGACATTGCTATAATGGATATTAAATGTATGAACTTAAATGTCTTCAGAATTTTTCTAATTTTTTTCCCTTAAATTAAAAAGAACAAAACAAAGCAAAACAAAAACATTCTACAGTACACAGGTGTAGTTTAAAGAGCAATTTGTTTGAGTTAGTTCTCTCCTGCCATCACGCATGCTCTGAGGGTCAATTCAGGCTGTCAAGCTTGGTAACAAGCACCTTTTCCTGCTGAGCGATCTTACTAACCATTTACCTAGTCATGTATAGTAACTGCACGCTCATGATTTGTGTGAGAGGGTGTACATGTTGCAGCATGTGAGACTAGAGGACTCCTTGTGAGAGTTGCATCTTTGTTCCCACTGTGAGTTAGTTCTGAGATCAATCAGATCTTTGTGCTCAGGACAAGATGGAGTCATCTTGCCACCTTTCAATTTATCTTGACCTAGTGATTTTACTTGAGGAACTTTTCAATATTTTTGTCTGCTTTGTCTACATTGATAATACCAGAAATGGCCAGGAAGTGGTGGCACGCGCCTTTAATCCCAGCACTTGGGAGGCAGAGACAAGTGGATCTGATCTCGAGTTCATGGCAGCCTGGTCTACAGAGTGAGTTCCAGGACAGCCAGGGCTACACAGAGAAACCCTGTCTCGAAAAACCAAAATGAAAACTTGTTCTATAGTAAAATAGAACAAGAATTTTAAGGAGGTTGATGTCATTAACATCATCCATAAATGATAAATTCCCATAACTCTTTAACTGTAACATGGGTTGGGGAAAAAAAACCCATAATGAATTAAAACTTTTTTTTGGAGTGGTGGGGGAAGAGATAAAAATCTGATTCTATGGCCCAAGCTAGCATTAAATTCACTCTGTAGTCATGGCTAGCCTTGGTGTCATGGAGCTCACCTCCCTCCTTATCCTCCACAGTGATAGAATTACAGTCATGTGCACTGTCACGTCTGACCGCCCTGTTGTTTTCTCAGTGATCCAGGCAGTCCTAATGGAGAACTCTCAAGTGTTATATGAAAAAATAAAGTTTAATGCATGTTACTTACACTATGTCTTGTGTGTACATGAACATGCACCATGGTGGGTGTGTGGTGGTCAGAGGACAACCACAACATGGAAGTTGCTTGTCTTCTTCCACCAAGTGTGTCCTAGACATTAAACGCAACACAGCATGGCATCAGGCACACTTACTAAGCCATCTCACCAGCCTTGAAAAAGAAGTGTTATTTTTGTTGTTGTTAAAAATTATATTAAAGACAGGGTTACTGGGAGCTGCTCTCAGGTGGGTGAGTCTACTGACTCCGAGAATAGAGGCCAGGGAACTCACCATGGGTGAGAGAGGAAGAGAGGGAGAGAGAGAGAGGAAGAAAGAGAGAGGGGAGGGGAGGGGAGGGGAGGGGAGGGGAGGAGAGGAGAGGAGAGGAGAGGAGAGACAGAAAGGGCCCAGGCATGTAAATGTAGAGAGAGAGGAAAGGGCAGGAGGAGGAGGAGAAGAAATGAAAAGACGTTTTATCTCCTAACCAATTGTACTTTTTTTCCTCACATAAACTCTTCAAATTACCTGTAGGGCCACAGCTATAGGTGTATTTACATTACTATTGCAAGGTGAAGCGGCGTTTGCCCTTGATGGCTTTGTAGTAGTTGGAGAAGACACTGGTACAGTCACTGGATTGAGAATGTCCTTTGGAACAACAGAATCCTCCATTTGATCCTTCTCTTGCTGAGTTGTGCTAAAGAAAAAAAAGTTTGGTATTAGGCTTAGTATAATACGCAGGAGCAGCTGAGCTACGGGTTTTGTGGGGTGGGCTGAGGCGTCAGTCCCCTCAGTGGAGGTCCTGGGAGGGATCCACGCTCCAGGGACCAGCCCTCGTCTACTGCACTCGGTGGATTATAAAAACAGAAGAGTTGGGAAAACAGAAAGGGGAAGATAAGATCAGAATACAGAAATCATCAAAGAATAGTATAAAACATAAAAAAGGCAGGGCAGTGGTGGCACACGCCTTTAATCCCAGCACTTGGGAGGCAGAGGCAGGCAGATTTCTGAGTTCGAGGCCAGCCTGGTCTACAGAGTGAGTTCCAGGACAGCCAGGGCTACACAGAGAAACCCTGTCTCGAAAAACCAAAAAGTCTCCCCTCCTCTTTTATTATCTAAATTTTACATTTAGTTTTTTGAGACAGGATTTTACTATGTAGTAGCCCCAGACATCTTGGAACTTGCTATTTAGACCAGGCTGGCCTCAAACTCTGAAATCTACCTTCCTGTGCCTTCCAAGTTTTGGGATTAAAGTTTGTGCATCGGGTTTATTTACATTTACTTTATTATTTCCTTATGTGTATGGTGTTTTGTCTGTATCTATGTGTGTACCACATGGTGTGCCCAGTCCCAGCGAAGATCAAAAGGGAATCAGAGTTACAGATTGTTTTGAGCCACTGAATATGTGCTGGAAACTGAACTCTAGTTCTCTGGAAGATCCGTAAGTGTTCTTAACTGCTGAGGCAATTCTCAAGCCCAAGATTTATATTTTTAATTACGTAAATGGTTTGTGTTTTTATGTGCACATGAGTGCAGGTGCTCTCCAAGTCCTAAAGAGCAATTCCCTGGAGCTGGACTTACAGGCAGTTGAGCATTGCCTGACATGGGTACTTGGAAACTAAACATGGCTCTTTTGCTCCTAACTGCTGAGCCATCTAACCAGCTCCACCCCTACTCCTTGAGAAAGGTCTCCCTGGATAGCCAAGGCTGGACTCAACTTGCAATCCTCTTCTCCCAGTCTCCCCAGGGCTAAAATTCAGTGATACACTACCAACTTAAGAAAAAGTTGTTTAATGTTGAAGTTCTTATTCTGAAAAAGAAGAGAACAAGTACCTTAACGCAGGAGGCTCAGCTGTACATGGAGGGCTAGGACTTATGCTGAGCTGTGGTGCAGAACTGCAGTCTGTCTGTACGTCCTCTGCAGGCACAGGGCAACTTACGCGCACGTCCTCACTGTCCTAAGGGTTGAAAGAGCACAGGCTGAAATTACATTTGGACACTTTACTAGAAAAGATGAACAAGCATACAGTAAGTGCTAAAGTATGCTCAATTATCACTCAACCAGCAATGACACAGTGGTTCACAGTGCAGTAAAAGGCATTCATGGCAAACAGTGGATCGCATCTGAAATCCTAGTGTTTAAGAGACAGGGGCAGGAGGATACTAAAGGCAGCAATGTTATAATGATTTAACTGTTTTAGAAAATAATCTAGCAGCTAAATAAAACACAGTTATCCTAGGACCTAGCAACCAGTTCTACTCATGCCATCAAAAGAAATAAAAATATGCCGTAATAACAATGAAATTCTCTATTACAATTGTTAAAAAAAGAAAAAAAAAGTCTAGCCAGGCATTACTTCCACACCCTGACTACAGGAAATTTCATACAAATAATCACTATAGCATCATTTATATGAGCCAAAAAGGAAATAAGCCAATGACTACCCAGTGGTAAAAGTATAAACATAACCAAGTATGATTCAAATATGAACCTTGAGGACACTCTGATAAATACAACAAGCCAGATACAGAAAGGCAGAACATTTCAAGACTTCATTCATGAGATGCATACAGAAGCCAACAGTTGCTAGGGGGAAAGATGAGTCTCTTCACAGCTGAGAACAATGGCTGACTCTTAGCTCCAAACACTTGAAAAGCTAAGGAAGGAGAATTGCCACAGTATAGGCCAGTTTGAACGACATAGTGAGTTCGAGTCTAGTATAAGCCACAGAATGTGATCCTGGTCAGAACATAAAAGCAAAGCATGGGCTGGAGAGATGGTCCAGTGGTTAAGAACACTGGCTGCTCTTCCAGCGGTCCTAGGTTCAGTTCCCAGCATCCACATGGCAGCTCACAACTGTCTGTAATTCCTGTCCCAGGGTATCCAACACTCTTACACAGACACATGCAGACAAAACAGCAATGCATATAAAATAAATTTAAAAATAAGTAAATAAAGCAAAACACAGGCTAGAAGAATGTTCAGTGGTTACAATCACAGGCTGCTCTTCCAGAAGACCCAGACTGGATTCCTGGCACTCAGTCAGCTTATAACCATCTCTAAGTCTAACTCCACAAGATTCAACATACTCCTCTGGTTTCCCTGGGCACTAGACACATGCATAACATAACACAGGCAAAACACTCAAGACATTTAAAAAGAGAAAAAAGAAAAAACAAAACAGGGCTGAAATTACAAGTGCTTGTGAGCTACCCTATGTGCTGGAAACCAAACTCAGGTGGTCTACATCAAGAGGAGTCGGCATTCAACCATTGAGCCATCTCTCAAGGTCCAGTGTTATTTTTAGCAGTACTTTTAATAACAAGAAACTGAACTACCTTTAAAATTCTAAGGGAAAATGATTTCTGATTGCGAACTATTCCTACAGAAAAAGTGACCAAATATGAGAACAGAAAACGTCTTGGAGCCAGGCAGTAGTGGCGCATGCCTTTAATCCTGGCACTTGGGAGGCAGAGGCAGGCAGATTTCTGAGTTCGAGGCCAGCCTGGTCTACAGAGTGAGCTCCAGGACAGCCAGGGCTACACAGAGAAACCCTGTCTCGGAAAAAAAAAAAAAGAAAGAAAAGAAAAGAAAATGTCTTGGAAAATGTATACCTAATTTCCCATTATTTTCTGTACTGTTTGACCTCCCCACCAACCCCTTTTCTTTACACCCATCTCCCCATTCTTTATTTCCCCCTCATCTATTTATTTGTTTATTTATTTATTGTTTGTTTCTCACAACACAGTTTCTCTTTGTAGCCCTGGCTCTTCTGGAACTAGCTCTGTAGATCAGGCTGGCCTCAAACTCAAGAGATCCACCTCCCTCTGCTTCCTCATTGCTGGGATTCAGGCCCTTTAGTACTTCTTTTAAGTGTATGAGACATTGCTACAGTCCTCTAGCCCCACTGTTTGGTATTTCTCCTCTTGTGGCTCATTTTTAAAATATTCTTTCCCTCTTTCCTAGTGTGACTACTTCCATCCCTTCCCTCCCGATCACCACACTGTGGTGCTCTACAGCATCCCTCTTCTCTGCCTAAAAAAGGGAAAATCTGAAAGGAAGAGAAAAATCACATTTAAGGTTTGTAATCTTAGTACTCAGGAGGGTGGGGAGAAAGATCACTGTTTAAGGCCAGCTGGTTCTACACACCAAGTCTCAGGTCAGCTAGCCAGTCAGGAAGTCCTCAGAAGTTACATAAACCCTGCCTGCAGGAGTGTACTACAGTAGATGGCTCAGTGGGTAAAACTGCTCAATGCACAAGTCGGCCAACCCCAGGCTGACCCTGGAATATATATATGGTGGAAGGAGAACAGACTTCTGAAAGTTGTTCTCTGACCTCTGTATCTGTGGGCTCCTCCCCCAACCCCCACCCCACAAAAGAAAAAATTAAGGTAAAATTTATGAGACCAGAAAAGCCCACACTCAAAAATATATTGCCAGACAATTGTGGCACATGCCTACAATTCCAAATCCAACACTAGGACAGCCAGGTGAATGGAAAATTTAAGGCCAGTTTGGACTATGCACTAAGACTGCCCCAAAAATGTATATGTGTGCGTGTAGAATGGATTCTATCAGTACTTCCAGACTCTAAACTCACAAACTGAGCCAAGGAATGCCTTCTTGACCTTTTTGGAGTTTTACTATAGAACTTTTAAAAACTCACAACATGGTGAAAACTAAGTAAATTGAACTTATAAGTAAATATTAATGAAGACAAAAATTTAAGTAACATCCCTAATACACTTAACTATGATGCCATAAAGTGAGAGAACGGAGGGCACTTCTGAGTTTACCTTTTCTTTGTAGACACCTTTAACAACATCAGACATTCTATTCTCCAAAGCAAGTTCATCTGGCATTCTTGATGAACTTCCGGGTAAAGGAGGAAAATTTGTAGCAAGTAAGTCAAACTTTGGTGTTGGAGCCTTTGCTTCAGTTGCTGTAGGCTGGGGTCTCTTAAAAAAAAAAAAAAAAAAACCAAACCATTAACAGGTCATTTGCCTGATGCTTTCTCTAACCCTCTGCCCCAACAGCTGTGAGAAAAACAAGCAATGACTTCTGGAAGACACAGAATCACCTCGGTATAAATTCCTCACCTCAGTTGAGTTCAATCATCTTAATCTCCTCTTCTGTTTGAACCCTGGCCAATGCCCACAATTCTTTGCTTCCTAAATTACCCCCCTTTTTGACAAAACTGAAAACAATAGCCCCATCTTGATCCTACTTTTTCTCCTTCCATATAATCTGTAGATAAAACAATATCCCTCCTGCTATAAAACATGTTTGAAAATGTCATTCTTCCTTTCAATCTACAATCCTATATACCCTGAGAGGCCTTACTAACTCACTGCTTCCTCATTACTGAATTCACAAAGGCTTTTACCACAGATGTTCAATAGACTCACTCTTGGCCATCCACCAGGCATGCTGTTTCCTGAGCCTGCGGTACCTTTGCCTTGGCTCTTGTTGAATCTGACAATAATCTTTCCCTAATTACTTTTTAACTTTTGGTCTCTCCTGTTCTTTTCACAGCCGACCTGTGTTACACATTCCTCAAGACATCAACTACAGTTTCCATGTAAGTGCTAAAACACTATTTTTACCCTTTAGTGGTCATCAGTGAACAACTTTTCACAGGCACAGGCAATCATGCATGCACACATACTCTCTCAAAAATCACCCAAATGTACAATCAATATTTTTATTTCAGGGTTTTCTATTCAGATTTCACTTTGGGTACTTTGAACTGAACAATCTCAGTTTTCAGTGCAAAGTGACCACTGCAATCCTTAACATCTCACCTCTTTCTCTTCTAAGGAGCCTGCACATTCTCATCAAATTGTAACACTTCTATTTCTAAGATCCCACTCCGGCATAAAAGCTCTCCTACTCTACCTCAAAGCATCTTTGTTTCCATTTCCTTCAAGCCAACTGACATTTTTGATGTATTATATCCAAAATCTACATTCTTTCCACTCTTAATTTTTCTTTTTAAGACAAGGTCATGCTAAGAAGCCCAGTCTGGCCTCAAGCTTGGTCCTTTTCTGTTTAACTCTCCAAATGCATAGATGACAGGTATGCACCAGTTGCCTGGCTTTTTTCTCATCCTCAATCTTTGAAGGCTACTTGAGGATTCACATGGATTGCTATAATGACTAAAAACTAATTGGGGCCTAAATTTTCCTGGCTGCCTATAAAAGGGACAGTCATAAATAAAACCACTGGGTATAATGTCTGCCTAAGCATACATGAGCTTAGGTTTGCTCCTTAGCCAGTAAAGAATGTGTAGTGATATACACCTGTGACCCAACACCTAGGAGGCAGGAAGATCAGAAGTTCTAGGCCAGTCTGGGCTAAATGAGAAGCTTAGTGTTATAATAACCTTCTAAGGTCTAGGATCACATGTGTGCACTATTATCATGTCTTGTCTATACACTTGTGTGTATGTGGGCATGTGCACGTGAGGGCATGTCCTTGCAAAGTGAAGCAAGCTAACTCCAGCTGAAGCTGGAGTTTCAGGTGGTCTTGACTACCTGATGTGAATGCTGGGAACAGAACACAGGATGAATGGAATAGCAGTCTTAGCCACCAAGCTAACTCTTCAGCCCTTGTGAGTTTAAAAAAACTAAGACTGTAAATGTAAGAATGAGTCATAGGGTGAGTGAGATGGCTCAGTAGGTCATGTTCCATAGCACATGCCACAAAGGCTTGACAACCTGAGCTCAATATCTAGACTCCATAGTACAACCACAAAAAGCTGACCTCTGCACAAAGGCAAGTTTCCATCACCTACACAAGTTTGAGAACGAATCTAACATGTCAAGACTGACAAAACCAATATAAATTAACATTTACTGAATTTTAATTAAAAAAATTGTAGAAATCTATGGTGGATAGTTTTGTTTCATGTATGCCTGTGAATGACATGTGTATCTCATGCCTGTGGAAATCAAAAAAGGATGGTGAATTCCCAGCAACTGGGATTAAAGATTACTGTGTAGGTGCTGGGAATTGAACCTGAGCTATCAGGATGAATAGCAATTAACCACTGAGGCACCTCTCCAGCCTGTTCATTTTTTAATAACAGGGTCTCACTTTGTAGCTCTGGCTGGGCTAAAACGTATAACTGGCAGAGACACCTGCCTCTGCCTCTTGTCTGCTTGGATTAAAGGTGTGTGCCCACATGCCTGGCTACTGGTTTTAAATGTTAACTTAACACAGCCTAGAATCACTGGGAAAGCCTCAGTAAGCATCTGACTACACCAGGCTGCTATAAATGATATGGGAGGAGCCGCCTCTAAAGTTGACAGTATCTTCTACTACTGAGTGAGAAAAAAAGGGAAAGAAGAAGAAAAACTTCAATTATCTAGACTTCACTCTGGATAGTCAGTTCATCTACCTTGTTGCTGCTGCTGCTGTTTCTTCTGCTAACAGAACAAGCTTCTTTGGGTTTCTAACTGAGCTGGAGATAAGCTCAATGCCAGCTTTGGATGGCTCAGGTATTCTCGAACACTCAGCAGCTACTGGGTTCCTGGTCTCTCCAGTGTAGGAGAGCCACTGTTGGACTCCAACCACATTATATAAACTATAATAGTCTCCCCTTTTAATTAACATACATGAATTCTGCTCGATTAGTGAACTCTAATGCAGTCAGACATGCAGAATGATCGTTATAAGGCTATGCTCTGGATCTACAACGGTCCCCATAGGATCACGTGCTTTCATACGCAGCCCAGCCCTGCTGTGTTGTAGGGACTGGTTGCTAGAGATAGACCACTAGTTGTAGACCTTTGAAGGCTTTAGTCCAGCTCTACCTCTCTTTCTTTTAACTTGGCTGGCTAGAACTTGCTGTGTAGCCCAGGCTGGCCCTGAAAACTGTAAAGACCCACTGGCCTCTGGCTCCTGAGCACCACTACTTCTTTTAAAAAATAAATTTTTGTAAGTTCTAGTTTTATGTATGCGTGTCTGTGTACCACATGTGTGCTTGGTGACTATGGTGGCCAAAAGTCACCAGATCCTTTGGCAATGCAGTTACATACAAACAGTTGTAAGCAAAGTCAGGGTACTGAGAACCAAACCTAGGTCCAGCAAAAAGCAACAAGCGCTCTTGACTGCAGGGACATTTTACCAGGCCCCAGCTCTACTTCTAGTCCTCTACCCTCAGCTTCCGATGTGTCAAGATGTGAGGAGTCTGCTGCTCCCTGTTCTAGGGATGGATCCATCACAGCTTCATTACGAGAGGCTCTCATTGTATTACTGATACGAACACTGTGAGCAACAGAAGAAGCTGGCATGGCATTACACACCTATAACCCCGTAACTCCTATAACTGGAGTGTAAAGCAGTGGGACTGCGTGGGAAACCAGTATGAGATACACAGTGAGACACTGCCTCAGCACAGGGATCCAATAACAACACCATAGTAACCTTTCCAATTCCGCTACCTCCTCCCACTTCTTTTTAAAGGCAGGGTCTCCTCGATAGGTATCCCCAGCTGGCATGAACTGTCTGCTTCCAGGAGCTGGGATTAAATGCATGCATCACTCCTGGGTCAAATTTACTTTTAAGCAATGTGAATATGTTTGATATAAAATATTAGGAATACAACTTTGAACTCCTAACTAGGCACTAGAAGGTGTATTTTTAAATAACCTTCAGATCAATCTCAGGTTCAGTTATATTTTGGAAAAAAAAAAAACAAAACAAAACAAAAAGGAAAGACAGATCAAAAGGAAAAATAATTAAAGATTAAAATACTTACTGGGATCCTGTCATCTTCTCTTCGTCTTCGGCCTCTAAAGAGAGTTCTCCTTTTAACACAAGAATAATACAGATAAAGTTCTTAAAATACATACATCCTATCACAGATTTCTATTTAAAATATCTAAATTTTCAAAATAAGGGCTATTCCTCCATTTTATTAAGGGGAAAGTTAATTCCTTTGAAGAATCTTGAACTTTGAACTAATCTACAAAAAGGTTCTCCAACTACCACTATAGCGTTAGCTTGGGCTGCTTGTATCAGTAACACTTTCCACATCAGAATCATCTTAAGGTCTAATTCAGGCAGAGTAGACAAAATATAACTCCTAGAGTTGAGAAATTGGAAGAAATGTGGAACTAGAAGGCAGAGCTGGATCTTGAATCCCAACACTCTTAGGCAAAGAGAGTTGGATCTGAGAGGTGAGGCCAGCCTAGTTTCTGCATGGCAAATTCCAGGCTAAGTATGGGTGAAAACCAAACCAAACCAAAAAACCCTTAAAAACCACTGATAAATAAGTTCAGCCGGGCAGTGGTGGCGCACACCTTGAATCCCAGCACTTGGGAGGCAAAGGCAGGTGGATTTCTGAGTTTGAGGCTAGCCTGGTCTACAGAGTAAGTTCCAGGACAGCCAGGGCTACTCTGTCCTGGAACACTGTCTGAAAAACTCTGTCTCAGGAAGAAAAAAAAAAAAAAAATTCAGCAGTAGCTTAAATAGGATACTTGAGAACATCTTTTCAAACTAAAACTAAACCTTCCCAAATCCTATTAACTCATTAAAACAATAAATTTACTTACTATAACCACATTAAAAAAAGATAAAAATCATCAGATTGTTTTCAACGTTCAAGATAAGCATATTATGATTAATTTTTTTTTCTTCTTCTTGATTTTCGAGACAGGGCTTCTCTGTGTAACTGTCCTGGCTATGTTTGTAGACCAAGCTAGGCTTGAACTCAAAGAGAATCACTTCCTCTGCCTCCCAAGTGCTGTGATTAAAGGTGTGAGCCACCATGTAGGGGAATTAAATAACTTTTATACACCCACATTTCCTTACCTGCCTCTTCCAAAGTCTCCATTCTGTTCCATCTGTAAAATGGGAGCTTCCTTTGGAAGGTAAGTTTGTTCTTGATGCCCCGTTACTGTTGCGTTATGCCTTTCAGAAAGAAAGATCCTTGAACTAGATCTGCTCAATGGTCCGTCCCCCAATGACACAGAGCCTTCTGTTGAGTGTTCTGAACCACTGGATGACCTAAAATGAGGCTTTACACTAAAAAAAAAAAAAAAAAAAGACAAAGAATAAATGTTATGTTATATTTTTAATAAAAGGCAATTAAAGAATTTCCACATCAAGTAATGTATTTGGAGAAACTTGGGGAAAAACACTAATGGGAATTTTAAAAAATTCATTATTGTACAGGGGAACTAAAAACATTGTATTTCTTTTTATGTATTTACAGCATACACATAAACTTATTATCTGTAACATTAAATATTTATAGGAAAAATTATGTCTGAAAAGAATAGGGGAAGCTGGGTAGTGGATACACACAATCAAAACACTTGGAACGCAGATCTGTGAGTTTGAGACCAACCTATACTACAGAGCAGGTTCCAGGACAGCCAGAACTACACAGAGAAACCATGTCTTGAAAAACAAAATTCAGTCTAAAATTATGCTTCCAAAAAATATATATATATTTAGAAAAAATATCAATGAAAATTACAGTACATTCTTTGACAGGCATTTAAAAATGGTTACCTATCTTTCTGAAAATAACTTGGTAAGGTAAATTACAATGTTTACATGGAGTTCAGAAACTCATTTCACTATGGATTGTAACAAGGCTAATACAGGAGTTTATTAACTTTAAATAGCTCTCAAATCACATAATCTTACCAAGAAGGACTTAACAATCACAGTCCAGGCAACAGAAAAGAAATAAACCAAACCAAACCAAACCGAACACACAAGAATGTGATAACAGAAAGAAGAGCACAGTGGCAGAGTCCATCCTCCCCATCACCAGGCTGTCAAGAGGTAACAGAAACATTGTAACAAAGTGCTCCACTAGGCATGATAGTGCAGGCCTATAATCCAAGATCTGAGAGTAGATGCAAGAGGAGTGGGGGTTTAAGAACATGCCCTTGACCCTACTACATGCCTCTGAGCTAGACACTATCTGAGAAAACCAACAAACAGAATGCTAGTGCGTATCTTGAATCCCAGCACTCAAGAGGCGGAAGCTAGCTTGGTTTAGTGAGTTACAGTACAGCCATCTCCCGCTCCCCTTTTCCCCATAGGAAAATGCAAATGACAAAAATATTCATAAACTAAAGAGACTGGAGCCTTTAACTGAAAAGGGCCTGGTTAGACCATCACTTCTTAGGAGCAAGAAGGAAACAAGAATTAGGCTGGTAGTGGAAAGCTAGCAAGTAAGTATTCGTGCTTATGTAGGAGACGGCTTAGCAGGTCAAAGTTTGATCCTGGGAATGCACACATCCAGGAACTACAGCTGTGGTAGCATCTGTAGTCCCAGCACTACATTCCAGAGATGGAAGGCAGACAAGAGAACTGACCCAAGGGCCAGCTAGACCCGTTTCAGTGGTAGAAGCAAGAGATGATGCCTCAAAAAGGTGAAAGGTTAAAAACTGACTTCTCAAAGTTGTCCTTTGACCACCACCCCCTACTTGTATGCCCACATGCATACACACAAAAGAATGTATGGCTGCGCAGGGCGGTGGTGGCACACGCCTTTAATCCCAGCACTTGGGAGGCAGAGGCAGGCGGATTTCTGAGTTCAGGGCCAGCCTGGTCTACAGAGTGAGTTCCAGGACAGCCAGGACTATACAGAGAAACTCTGTCTCGAAAAAAAACCAAACAAACAAAAAAAAAAAGCATGGCTGGGCAGTGGCAGAATTTAATCCCAGCATTTAGGAGGCAGAAGCAGGTAGATCTTTTGTTCAAGGCCAGCCTGTCTACAATTGAGTTCCAGGACAGACAGGACAACACAAAAATCTGTCTCTGAAGGAGCTGAAAGCATTTGCAGTCCCATGAGGAGAGCAACAATACCAACCAACCAGAGCTCCTAGGGTCTAAACCACCAGCCTGGGAGCACATATGGAGGGGCCCATGGCTCCAGCTGTATATGTAAGGGAGGATGACTGTGTCAGGCATAGGAAGGAGAGGAGGTCCTTGGTCCAATGAAGGCTGGATGCCCCAGTGTGGGGGAAATCGTGGGTGGGGAGGTGAGAGTGGAAGGATGGGTGGGGGCATATCCTCATAGAAGCAGGAGGAGGGGGGATGGGATAGGGGGTTCCTGGGTGGGGAGGGGGTTACATCTGAAATGTAAATAAAATATCCAATAAAAATTTTAAAAAAAGTATATTCATGGTTACATGCATCATGTGCACAATTATTTTATTTTGGAAAGAGTAAAACTTAGGGCCTTAAGCAGGGCAATACTGCCACTTAGCTACATCCCAGCCTTGCAGGTCTGGTTTGTTTATAATTTTTATTATTCATGCTTATGGCTGCATGTATGTTTGTGGTGATCAGAAGAGGGAATCAGATTCTCCATAAATGGAGTCATGGATGATTGTGAGCTACCATGGGGGTGTTGGGAATCAGACCTGGGCCTGCCAGAACAGTCTGTGGTGCTCTCAAGGGCTAAGCCAACTCTCCAGCCTCCCTGGCCATATTTTTTTTTTTTTTTTTTGGACAGGGTTTCTCTGTGTATAGCCCTGGCTGTCTTGGAACTCACTCTGTAGACCAAGCTGGCCTCAAACTCAGAAATCCGCCTGCCTCTGCCTCTCAAGTGCTGGGATTAAAGGCGTGCGCCACCACCGCCCGGCAGCCATAATATTATTAAAGACAAACACTTAAGGTCAGTACTTAAAATTTTATGTGTGCTGGAGAAGAAACTCTGTTGGTTAAGTGCTTGCCTTGTAAGCACAAGACTCTGAACTTAATCCCCAAGATTCATATTAATAAGTAAACTGGGGGTGGAGCCGGCTCAGCAGTTAAAGAGTACTGTTTTTCTAGAGGACCCAGACTCAATTCTCAGAACACACGGAGGCTCACCGTCCTTGGTGACTCCAATTCTAGGGGACAACGCCTTCTGGACTACTCAGGCAACAGAAGTGAGAGTTGTGCATACACATACTGCAGGCAAAACTCCCCTCCTCATAAAATAAAATAAAAAACTAAAGACCAAACAGAAACCACTAAAATCTTCACCCCTTTATATCTATTATTCATTCTGACCCAGAAGCATCTTTAGAATTCTAGACTGGATAATTCATGTACATTTTTAAAATAGAAATTAGCAAACACAGGGCTAGAGAGATGGCTCAGCAGTTAAGAACACAGCACCTTCCAGAGGTCTGGAGTTCAATTCCCAGCAACCCCAAGGTGGCTCACATCCACCTCCAATGCTCTCTTCTGGTGTTTCTGAAGAGAGCAACACTATACTCACATAAAATAAATAAAAAAAAAACTAACACTTATAGAAATAACAAGTCTCCCAACAAGAACATAGTAATTCCTCAAGAATTACTGTGAATTGTTTAAAATAAATTTATTATTTTTTAATCTTACCGATTTTTTTGGAATGGTCGGCCCATATTCATAGCAGCAGCATTTGTTTTATAAGATCCTGGTGAACTAAAGCCATTCACAAAACTACCATTGGGAAAGGGAGCCTAGAAGAGAAGGTTAATATTTAATGGTAAGGGTTAAAATACTTGAGAGAGGGTTCTGAGAAACCCGAGTGAGAGGCTGCCGTATCAGTTTTGTCAACCAGTCAATAGAAACCTCTTACTTCTGTGATGCTCATGTCACACAGCACTTGATTATAACACTTCACTAGTCGTTACAGACAAAACTCTTTCATGACATTTTTTTTTTTTCCGAGACAGGGTTTCTCTGTGTAGCCCTGGCTGTCCTGGAACTCACTCTGTAGACCAGGCTAGCCTCAAACTCTCGAACTCAGAAATCCACCTGCCTCTGCCTCCCAAGTGCTGGGTTTAAAGGCGTGCGCCACCACTGCCCAGCTTCATGACAAAATTTTACAACACGGGAGTTATTTAAAAATCCCCTGGGAGCCAGGCGGTGGTCCGCACGCCTTTAATCCCAGCACTTGGAAGGCAGAGACAAGCAGATTTCTGCGTTCGAGGCCAGTCTGGTCTACAGAGTGAGTCCAGGACAGCCAGGGCTACACAGAGAAACCCTGTCTCGAAAATCAAAACAAAACTCCCCTGGGAACCAGGCAATGGTGCACATCTTAAGTCCTAGCACTCCAGAGGCAGGCAGGTCTCTGAGTTCAAGGTCATCCTGGTCTACACAGAGTTCAAAGACAGCCAGGGCTACATAGTAATAAGACTCAATCAATCAATCAATCAGTCAATCAATCAATCAATCAATCAAAAAGGACTTATTTTCTTCTTTAATTCACTTATCAAACTGTAAAGAATCAAGCTGTGGACACTAACAGCTCAACCCGTGACAGTATGTTTATAATGAGTAAGGAGCTACTACAGTTACCCAGAAATCAATGGACCTGACCAGTGTGTGTGTGTGTGTGTGTGTGTGTGTGTGTGTGTGAGTACACACAACTATGGCTTGTTGCTATGCAAACTAGTCTGGCCTTCAAGTTGCAATGAGGCTGTTAACACAGAATCTCTGGTGAGACAGATCTGTACCTACCCTGTAGGTAGTCTAATTACATGCAAATGCATCTGCATCTGGTTTTTAGATGATTTTTTTCCAAATCTTATCTTGAACTAAATATTTTATTATTTTCTAAGAGACTCACTTACCAGTGGTGTTTCAAAGTAAGGTGCAGGACTTGGAGACCAAGACTGAGGCACAATACTATACACTGAGTACTGCTGATGAGGATTATACACTGGTTGCATGAAGACAGGTGAGGGATATTGAGTTGGAGCCTGAATGGGTTGAGCATACATACTAGAATCCATTAATCGATAACCATTCTTAGCAAAAAATGTATTGATGGCTTTTATCCTTGCCTACAAGAAGAAAACATAGTAATAAATGAAGTATATTTTACAACAAATATATTCAACTTTTTTTACATTATCTTATGATTCATTTCTGCTTAGAATCAACAGAGCAAAAGACAACAATAGCTTTAATTAATAGGAAAGTGTGGACTTGAGAAGAGCCACAGTAAACAAGGTAAAGCAAGTGAATTTGTGCTGGATCAATGGTTAAGAGAGAGCCTGCTTCTCTTGAGGACTCTAGGATCTGTAGCACCTGTAACAACATGAACCTGGTGGGCAGTAGGCTACAGGAAACAGCTAAGAACAGAAAGGTGCCCTGGGCTCTGCTGGCACCCATACTCACATGCAGACACATTCACCTATACATAACTAAAATAATAAAAGTAAATCCTAAAGACAAACTTTCTTTTTTTTTTTTTTTTTTTTTGGTTTTTTGAGACAGGGTTTCTCTGTGTAGTCCTGGCTGTTCTGGAACTCACTCTGTAGACCAGACTGGCCTCGAACTCAGAAATCCGCCTGCCTTTGCCTCCCAAGTGCCTAAAGACAAACTTAACTTGAAGTTTAACTAAAAAACCTGCCATCCGCCGGGCGGTGGTGGCGCACCACCAATTATAGTAACTGTGGTAATGGGTTTTCTCCTGAGAATAAACAATGTACCCCACTAAATCATAAATCAGGGAACCAAAAGTCCAATAGAGCCACCCTGGAGGTGTGGGTGGTGATGTCTTCTGCACTGAGAACTTCTCAAGTCTGGTATGCTGGTTGATCCGCTCCTGTTTGAAGACAATTGTGAAGCATCTTCATGTTTCTTGTAAAGAAAAAATACGCTTCTCAGGGGGCTTCTCTTCCCTGGATTTGTTATTGTTCTCTATTTGTTTGATCAGTCTCTCTGGCAGCCAGCGTGCGGCATCTGCCGTTTGGGAATATATGTAGACAGAACCTCTTCCCCAGATAAGCACTGGATCTGGCCCACTCCAGGTTCCAGTTAATGGGTCTTTTTAGAGGACTGTTGTTAAAATTCTTTTTAGTATCAGGACGTCAGAATCTATCTGTAGTAGATTTTCTTTCAGAATCTAAAGTTAAAAATATTTAAAATAAAGAGCGTGTGATGGCCGGGCGGTGGTGGCGCACGCCTTTAATCCCAGCACTTGGGAGGCAGAGGCAGGTGGATTTCTGAGTTCGAGGCCAGGCTGGTCTACAGAGTGAGTTCCAGGACAGCCAGGGCTACACAGAGAAACCCTGTCTCGAAAAATCAAAAAAAAAAAAAAAAAAAAAAAAAAAAAAAA